GATCATGTTCCATGAAGATATTTAATACATTTTCTACTGTAAATATATTAAAACTTAATTTTTGATTAGTGATATACATTGCTAAGAACTTCATTTGGACAACTTTAAAGGCGATTTCTCAATATTTCGATTTTTTTTGCACCCTCAGATTCCAGATTTTAAAATAGTTGTATCTCGTCCTATCCTAACAAACCATACATCAATGGAAAGCTTATTTATTCAGCTTTCAGATGATGTATGAATCAGATGATGTAAAAAAAAAAGACCCTTATGACCGGTTTTGTGGTCCAGGGTCACATATGGATCAAAGAAGACTGCTTAGTTTCATATGCAAAGATACATATGAATATACTGGCCTGTAAATGGCATCAGCTGTGTTTTTCCTGTCTCTTAACATTTATACCTCATGCCATGGGGTATCTATCTATCTATCTATCTATCTATCTATCTATCTATCTATCTATCTATCTATCTATCTATCTATCTATCTGTCTGTCTGTCTGTCTAATGTTATTAGAATCTCTTAAAAGGGTCATATGATGCGATTAAAATTTTTCCTTTCTCTTTGGAGTGTTACAAGCTCTTGGTGCATAACGAAGATCTGTAACGTTGCAAAGACTAAAGTCTCAAATCCAAAGAGATATTCTTTATAAAAGTTAAGAGTCAGCCACACCTACCTAAAACGACTCGTTCTAACACGCCCCCACATGTCTACATCACGATGTGAGAAGATTTGCATAATGCCGCCCAAATGTTCACGCAAAGAAAGAAGGCGTAACTTTTATTCTCGCTGTAGTATTGTTGTTGCCGCCGCCATGTCGTGAAGGCGCTGTGTGCTTCGTTGTGTAAGCGAAGCTACTATGTTTGGCCTTCCAAAAGAGGATGATATGGCTTCATCATGCCTAGAGCTGATCTGTGCTGGTTGCTGAGGAAATACTTCAGCTTCACGCTGTGGATCACCGGATCGGCTTTCACAGTGGACGAAGCGGAGTCCAGCCTGGGGTCATCACATGTGGTTGCCGCAAGCCCGCCGGACGCTCCTTCGTCGAATCCGCCGCCACTCACTCTAGGCCACCGTGTGTGACGCTGTGTTTCGTTGTGAAAGAGAAAATACTCTGTCTGGCCTTCCAAAAATGGACACGACTAGAAATCAGTGGTTAAGTTGTATTTCCAACACTGTTCCAGAACACTTCAACCCAAATATTCAGATGTGTGCAGCACATTTTATGGAGGACTGTTTCCTGATCCTGGTAGAGTAGACTACAATGCCGGCTGTTCTGACGCACGGACTGTAATACGTTTTTTATATTTAAAGAGTTTTTATATTTTATATGTGTTATATTTAAAGCGAGTTTTTTGGGCAGTGTAGAGTAGGGCTTGTTATTTGTCATTTCTCCGATCACAAATGCAGACATGGTTTTATGTTTACGCGGTGCGATGCAACGCAACGCGTAAAAAGACAGTATAAGTCATTATAATCCATAATTATGTCCCCACTGGATGCAACGAATGCCTCGTTTATAATGGGTTTTCATGTTTTTGAATCATGGCTCCGGCCTGACAGGGCATCATCACAATATGTGAGGGGCGTAACATTTCCGTCACACGCTTGAGGTATTCGGCCAATCACAATGCACTGGAAAGCTGGCCAATCACAGCACACCTCGCTTTTCAGACCGATGAGCTTTGTAAAAATCGATGCGTTTCAGAGAGGCAGGGCATAGAGGAGAAACAATAATGTACAGTATGTGGAAAATAATGTGTGTTTTTTAACCTTAAACCGCATAAACACATTTCATTCCACCAAATACACCAAATAATGTTATTTTTAGCATCATATGACCCCTTTAAGTAAAATTATTTTTTAATGAGCTGCAATACCCTGTTCTTATTTCGTACGAGTAATAAGCTCATTGTGATTAACGGATCCCCTATGTACAATGAATGCACTGAAGCAGCGCCGACTACAAGCAGCATTAGCAAGCGTCTTTCCTCTTCCTATTAGACAGCCAATCAGCTTCCAGTACGTTGCGTCATTGACGCACACAGACCAATCACATGAGCGCCTTGGGTCTGTGACAGAGATTTTCTCACGATGGTGTCTGGGTTGGTTTGCTCACCGAGCCGCTGGTGAATGTGAGTATGTGGTGAAATGTATCATTCGTGTTTTTAAGCAATGTTTTAAAGAGCATTGCCATTCTGAGGAAGTGATGATAAATGAACGCGTCCACTACTGAAAGTGTCCCCATCCTCTATAAACATGTTGAGAAAACTTTTGCTGCTCTTGATGCTTTGCATCATTTTCATGACGCGGAGATCAAAGGCAGCGGCAGCGCCCAGCGCGAGCCACACTTTGATCTGGGGTCCTGGACTAGAAACAAACATCTTCCTTCCTGCTCGGTTCTTCTTCATACAGACAGTGGACTCCACCGGAAGAAAGTGAGTGAGTTCTTCTGGAAGACCAGAATGGGGCATTGTGGCTTAGTGGTTACACATCTGGCTGGGAAATATAGGTTGTGGGTTCAAACCCTGGATTAAGGGTGCACTTCACGTTCATTTTTATTTACGACGACACACCACATGTGAAAATGGTACAATTTCGACTATTAGATATCACTTTACGTCCCCAGCTGATAAATCACAGCACATTAAGACAATAGTATGACAATATTATGCTTTAATCTGCAAACGATATATTATCTAATGAAATATTAATTTGCATACATTTCCAGAACATAAATTCAAGATTTAGTTTCATTTTGTTGAAATATTACAGATTTAAGGCTAAGTGCATGAGATATATATATATATATATATATATATATATATATATATATAAAATATATAATTTACAAATATGCACTGTAATTGAAATCTACAGACACAAACATATGTAGTTAAATAAATACATAAATTAGATGTTTTCTTTCCTTTGGTCAGAAAGTAAAAATGATAACTCAAAATTGACCAGTGGCTGAGAAAAACAGTGGTTTTGACTGTAGTGTCTTGCCTTAAACAAAGGTTTCAGCTAGACCAAAAATGATAACCGTAAAACCTCAATAGTTCCACCAAGATCATCTTATTCTTTCTTTAGTAAACTATATTGGCGCTTAAAGAACCCGCAGAGAGAACCCAGTTCTAAAGAACCTGTATAATATACAGCATAAAAAAAGACTTCTCTGCTGATCCTTAAAGTGATGCAAAGAAGAGCTTTTATTTAATCCAAGGCAATTGTGCTGTAAGTGCTTGAATAAATCTGCTAAAGGACAAATTAGTAGTAATTAGTCTCTGTTAGTCATATCGTGTCAGTCTTTTATGACTGAATGTTTTTATCCTGACAGACACTGTGTTCTGTGATAAATGAAACTATTTTTAACAACAAATGGCCGGTAATTTCCCAGGACAGGTCTTTCTTTGAGTTTCGCCCAAGGCGGTAAAAGCATCTTGTTTACGCATCCCATCTTTAGGTTCACATTTCATGTGTCCACATTAAGGCATCAGTTTACTTCTGTCATGGATAAAATATTAATGCCTTTGTTATTGTGATTTCCTCATCTTCAGTTTCACAACTTCTCCTGGAGAGAAGACATTTGAAGTGAAGATTACATCTCCAACAGACCCGTATGCCAGAATCTGGATCCAGATTTTAGACCGGAATGACGGATCCTTTTTGGTTCGGTACCGCATGTATGCCAGTTACACAGATCTGCACGTTCAGATTCTCTTGAAAGACAAGCTGGTGGGAAAGTCTCCATATGTGCTCAAAGGTGAGAAGAATCAAGTCCACCTTCATCATATAGAGATGAACAATGTCTGGAAGTTGACACTAACCTGTTTCTCACTGTCCAGGTAAAGAACCCGCAGAGAGAACCCAGTTCTAAAGAACCTGTATAATATACAGCATAAAAAAAGACTTCTCTGCTGATCCTTAAAGTGATGCAAAGAAGAGCTTTTATTTAATCCAAGGCAATTGTGCTGTAAGTGCTTGAATAAATCTGCTAAAGGACAAATTAGTAGTAATTAGTCTCTGTTAGTCATATCGTGTCAGTCTTTTATGACTGAATGTTTTTATCCTGACAGACACTGTGTTCTGTGATAAATGAAACTATTTTTAACAACAAATGGCCGGTAATTTCCCAGGACAGGTCTTTCTTTGAGTTTCGCCCAAGGCGGTAAAAGCGTCTTGTTTACGCATCCCATCTTTAGGTTCACATTTCATGTGTCCACATTAAGGCATCAGTTTACTTCTGTCATGGATAAAATATTAATGCCTTTGTTATTGTGATTTCCTCATCTTCAGTTTCACAACTTCTCCTGGAGAGAAGACATTTGAAGTGAAGATTACATCTCCAACAGACCCGTATGCCAGAATTTGGATCCAGATTTTAGACCGGAATGACGGATCCTTTTTGGTTCGGTACCGCATGTATGCCAGTTACACAGATCTGCACGTTCAGATTCTCTTGAAAGACAAGCTGGTGGGAAAGTCTCCATATGTGCTCAAAGGTGAGAAGAATCAAGTCCAGAGCTGAACAATGTCTGGAAGTTGACACTAACCTGTTTCTCACTGTCCAGGTGCAGTGTATCACGAATCATGTGACTGCCCAGAGCCCAGTGGTGCATTATGGGAAAAAAACATGCACTGCCCGGCCTCTTTCTCTCAGATAGAGAGTGATTTATCTGTCTTTCCCAGTGTGGATCCAGACCATAATACCCATGAGATCCTTAATCGCTTTGGAAAGAGACACAGCCTGTGTCACTACACCATTAAAAACAACCAGGTACACACATGCCTCATTCAAATACCTATGGATTGTTTTAAACATAAACTACACCATTTTTCCAAGGTTTTGCACAGAAAGAATTGAATAGTATTTTGACATCTGTTTAAATTGATTGGGTAAAATTTTTCTGTCTGTATATCTGTCACTCTAGCTGCCACTCTACTGTAGCCTTTATCTACATAAGGAAACAATTCGATTTAAAAAAATGTCTCATAATGTCATGGATTTTGTATTCTTTTTTACTCTAGGTTTATATAAAAACACATGGAGAACATGTCGGATTCAGGATCTTCATGGATGCCTTCCTTCTGTCCCTCACACGTAAAGTGAGTATTTGTACAAATGTTTTTGGGTGCTTTTAGTTAAGTAATAATAATGTTATTAATACACATCTCAAGCATGTGCTTAGTCATTTACCTTTATTACCATTAGATGGCACTCCAACATAGAACGGTTGGAGGCATGTACATCAAAATAGGACAATTTAACTTGAGTGTTAGTGTTCATTTCAGTTCATACAATAATAATATTGTTGATATGTTTGTGGCATTGTCACAGAATAGTTCAACTATTTTTAGGGGGTAAGTAAAGAATAAGACTTCTATAGTATTCAGTAATTATATTTTCATACGGATGGATGGATACTGGCTGGCACACTACCATTGTTTCTTGAACATCAAATCTGCATATTAGACTGATTTCTGAAGGATCATGTGATCAGTTATTTTAATTGTAGTAATATGTAACAATATTACTGTTTTACTGTATTTTTAATCTAATAAATGCAGCCTTTTTGAGCATAAGAGAAATGCATTAGCATAATTTTCAGATACATTAAAAAGTCTTACCAACCCCAAACTTTTGAATTGTATTTTGAATGATATGTTTTGTGTTATTTTGAATTACTAGTGCAAATTCATAACTGAAAGATTTACATTCCACTTATTGTTGTTGTGTGTGACCAGGTCAAGGTTCCAGACATTGAGTTTTTTGTTAATTTGGGGGACTGGCCCCTGGAGAAGAGACGGGTGTCAGAGAAGCCCAGCCCGGTCTTTTCATGGTGTGGGTCTAATGATACACAAGACATTGTCATGCCGACATATGACTTGACTGAATCTGTGTTGGAGACTATGGGCAGGTAAAGAAACTCTTGTGACTCTTGGAGATGCAGTTAACACATAAAACTTTTTATGGAACAACATAAAACTTTTTATTGATTTTTAGGGAGCTCTATCTAGGATTTAAAATCTGATTTAAACTAGGGAATAAACATAGCTTAATTTTAAAAATATTTATTGTAGCAAAATGTCAAACAACGAGTTATAGGAAATTTGTGAAGAAAGAAAAAATGGTATGGCTATATGGTAGCATTTTTCCTAAGTGGTCTCAGAGTTTGTGATCTGTGATTATGAGTGATTTTTTTTTTCAAATGATACAATTGTGATACTAGTTGTGAAACGTCTGTCCATGAAAACAAGATGCAATATCTATGCTAACATAACTTCTGTGAAGCATAGAAATGTTCAGCGATTTGTTTAGAAAAAATCATAACAACATGAATTTAAATCTCTGTACTACATATTATTTTCTTATTCTGACTGATTAAAATATATTTTGTCCATTGATCATTTTTTCTGTGACAGAGTGAGTCTGGACATGATGTCTGTTCAGGGACACACGGGTCCAGTGTGGGAACAGAAGATCAGCAAAGCATTCTGGAGAGGTCGAGACAGCAGGAAAGAGCGTCTTGAGCTGGTTAAACTGGCGCGGGCGAACCCTGATATGCTCGATGCCGCCTTAACCAACTTCTTCTTTTTCAAGCATGATGAGAGCCTTTATGGGCCCCTCGTCAAACATGTGTCCTTTTTTGACTTTTTCAAGGTGCATGGATTTCACAGAACTACTTCAGTACACACAGCATAGATCCTCAATTCAATTAATTTACATATTTTATGTTGTTATTTTTACCTGAGATGATTGTATGTTTCTCTTTTAACAGTATAAGTACCAGATAAATGTTGATGGGACAGTAGCAGCGTACAGGCTGCCTTATCTGCTTGCAGGAGACAGTGCGGTGTTCAAACATGACTCCATCTATTATGAGCACTTTTACAAGCAGCTCCAGCCATGGGTGCACTATATCCCCTTCAAAGCTGATCTCAGTGACCTACTGGAGAAGATCCAGTGGGCTAGAGACCATGATGAGGAGGTACATCATCCCTATTCACACACGCACATCTACGGTGTTCATATGAACACAAAATATTGCATATTAAATTGTTTGTGAGACAGACTTTGGTGCAGTGTATCACGAATCATGTGACTGCCCAGAGCCCAGTGGTGCATTATGGGAAAAAAACATGCACTGCCCGGCCTCTTTCTCTCAGATAGAGAGTGATTTATCTGTCTTTCCCAGTGTGGATCCAGACCATAATACCCATGAGATCCTTAAGCGCTTTGGAAAGAGACACAGCCTGTGTCACTACACCATTAAAAACAACCAGGTACACACATGCCTCATTCAAATACCTATGGATTGTTTTAAACATAAACTACACCATTTTTCCAAGGTTTTGCACAGAAAGAATTGAATAGTATTTTGACATCTGTTTAAATTGATTGGGTAAAATTTTTCTGTCTGTATATCTGTCACTCTAGCTGCCACTCTACTGTAGCCTTTATCTACATAAGGAAACAATTCGATTTAAGTGGTGCATTATGGGAAAAAAACATGCACTGCCCGGCCTCTTTCTCTCAGATAGAGAGTGATTTATCTGTCTTTCCCAGTGTGGATCCAGACCATAATACCCATGAGATCCTTAATCGCTTTGGAAAGAGACACAGCCTGTGTCACTACACCATTAAAAACAACCAGGTACACACATGCCTCATTCAAATACCTATGGATTGTTTTAAACATAAACTACACCATTTTTCCAAGGTTTTGCACAGAAAGAATTAATAGTATTTTGACATCTGTTTAAATTGATTGGGTAAAATTTTTCTGTCTGTATATCTGTCACTCTAGCTGCCACTCTACTGTAGCCTTTATCTACATAAGGAAACAATTCGATTTTAAAAAATGTCTCATAATGTCCAGCATAGATCCTCAATTCAATTAATTTACATATTTTATGTTGTTATTTTTACCTGAGATGATTGTATGTTTCTCTTTTAACAGTATAAGTACCAGATAAATGTTGATGGGACAGTAGCAGCGTACAGGCTGCCTTATCTGCTTGCAGGAGACAGTGCGGTGTTCAAACATGACTCCATCTATTATGAGCACTTTTACAAGCAGCTCCAGCCATGGGTGCACTATATCCCCTTCAAAGCTGATCTCAGTGACCTACTGGAGAAGATCCAGTGGGCTAGAGACCATGATGAGGAGGTACATCATCCCTATTCACACACGCACATCTACGGTGTTCATATGAACACAAAATATTGCATATTAAATTGTTTGTGAGACAGACTTTTTTTTAATGTCATTTAAATTATTACTATTTTGTAAAAAAAAAAAAATCACTGTTGGGCATGGCCTCAAGTGGCATATTCCTTTAATAAAAGACACCAATTTTCAATATACAGTATAGTTTAATTAATAGTCTGCATGATACAGTTTATATAACATAATGGATGGATGTTTAGCATATTCCAAAAGTACTGAAGTACTGATTTGCAACATTCTTTTATGTCAGTTCAATCATGACAACTCTCAGAAGATTTTAGCATGGTGATGGATATGACAATGTTAATGTATTTGGTATTGGATATAGATCTGCTACACTGCTGCTGCTGTTGGTTATTGCTGTAGTTGTAGATTATTGCTGCTGCTGCAAGCAAGTACAGGAACTTGCTACTGCCAATGCATATGGCGATACGGTGCCGTGAGTATTTAAGACATACTGCTGCTGCACAAATTGCATATAAAATAACCCGTAGCAGATCTATACAGGAGCTGGGGAAGGTGGAGGGATTCAGAGAAACTCTGAAAGCGTGCTGCAGGAATCTCCAGTGAATGCTAGCCAGCCATATAAATGCAAGGCAGTAAGCTCATTGGCTGCATATTCAGCATGAACCAATCAGCTTGTGCCATGTCATTTAACTCTGAATATCATCAGTTACATTAACAACCCGTCAGCCTGCGCCATCTAGAGTTTCATGACTGAACTATATATTTATGTATTATAATGTTTCTGAGAATGTCTTTCACACAATTGTAAGCTCAAATCTTGTGGGGATCATTTGAGTTTGATCACAGAATCCTGGGAGAACTGAATTGTGTAACTTATATTCATTTTAATCTATTAAATACATTTTTATTAGCCAGTCTTAGTACTGAACAGTTTGCATCTGCATGAATTGGAGATGCTGAATCTATTATTCTCTGTTCGCAAAGCAGAAGGTTTACATGCAGTATTGTGATGGTAGTGTGAGACGCATGTGAACAGGTTTGCAGTTGTTAAGGAGATTGCGATGTTAAAAATGTGTCTATAGCAGTAAACTGCACAAACAATCCTGTCACCTTTCTGTTTTTTTGTTTTTGTTTAATCTTATAGGCAAAGCAAATTGCCCAGGCAGGTCAGCAGTTTGCACGAACTCATCTGATGGGTGACAGTATATTCTGTTACTACTTCAAACTCTTTCAGGTATTTTTTTTATTTCTTTAGTTCAGTGCTCTGGTGTGTCTATTGTGGCAGTGACTACACCAAGAGCGGAACGGTTACTGTTTCTGTGACACTACAGGTTGTTTGTTTTATCACCTTTTTAATACCTTATTCTCCACAACGGCTCTTTTTAATTTCCTCTGTTCCTATTTTTGATTTTATGAACTTATCAATGTATATATCTTATCTTGTCTTGATTTTCCATCTTCATCCAAGTTTTATGTGTTGTTCTCAAGGACTCAAAAGACAAAGGTTAAATAGCGCGCGTCTTGCCATCTGCACGGCACACACATTCAATGGTCATTTTACTGTCTGTGTTGATAAGATTACTAGAAGCACTTTAGGTACAAAAAAATAGTCTTATTTTAAATAAGCAAAAAAAAAATTCTATCATCAATATAGTTTACAATATTATAAGCATCCGCAAAATTAGAAATGAAATCTTCAAAAAAAGGTTTGTTTTGTCTTGTGTCGTTGGCAGCTTTAATAAAATTAAGCTAAATATATTTGTTTGAATAGTATATATTTTCTATATAAGAGGTCAAACATACAGTACAAAATTATGAAACATACAACTTCGTCCCAAGTTTCCTGTGTGCTTACAGTAGTCACTGTGCGCAAGTACCCCTGAGTTCATAAACCCCAGTACTTTATGGTTTTTCATAACTATCGGCTGGAAACATTAATCTTTAAACAAGTTCTGGCCTCAAAGCACTTCTCAACAATAAACCTGTGTGCATTTGAGGTGTGGAAATGTTGGAGGTCAAGACCACAGCGGCTACTTGAATTTTATGTGATTCGTACTGCTGATAAAGATGCTTGTTTAGTATGATGATGTTGCAGTTAATAAAAAGTTCTAAATAAAAGTGCTTCACCAAGACAAAGAAAGTAAGAGGGTGTGTGATTGGATGGAAATATTACAGACGGTAAAATTATGTAGCTTAACTTGCATGTTGTGAAATAAATGTAATGTACCATGTAATATCTTTGTTTATTTTTGCCAGTAAAATTTTGTATGCTAAATAAAATTTCTACACTCATCCAGCTCTGTGTTTTTGTTTTTAGAAGTATGCTGAACTGCAGGTAACTGAGCCCAAGGTTCGAGATGGTATGGAGCTGGTGGAACAGCCAAAGGACGAACTTTTCCCATGTTATTGTGCAAGAAAAAAGGTAGCCTATGTGTTCTTGGTATTAACTGAAATCACTATAATGGGTATATTAATTTGTAATCATTTAACCTATTTTACACAATAACAGATTGTACTGATCATACTCAGTATAATAATAGTCATCAGTGTATAATAAGATTTCTATTAGTACAATATTTCTAGATTCCATTCAAATAAAATATCCTAACCAAACTCCCATTATACAAATAAGCATTTTTTTTTCAGTTTTGTCCATACTAAGATTTCTATTTATAAAAAATTCTGTTCAGCTTTGAATTTTCAGCATAATAAAATATTTGTTGCTAAGAAACAACTGAACATTTCACCACCATTTGGTATAATACATTTATTACAAACCCGATTCCAAAAAAGTTGGGAAGTTTCAAATTTCAATATTTTATTCAGAATACAACATAGATGACATATCAAATGTTTAAACTGAGAAAATGTATAATTTTAAGGGAAAAATAAGTTGATTTAAAATTTCATGTCATCAATACATCTCAAAAAAGTTGGGACAAGGCCATGTTTACCACTGTGTGGCATCCCCTCTTCTTTTTATAACAGTCTGCAAACGTCTGGGGACTGAGGAGACAAGTTGCTCAAGTTTAGGAATAGGAATGTTGTCCCATTCTTGTCTAATACAGGCTTCTAGTTGCTCAACTGTCTTAGGTCTTCTTTGTCGCATCTTCCTCTTTATGATGCTCCAAATGTTTTCTATGGGTGAAAGATCTGGACTGCAGGCTGGCCATTTCAGTACCCGGATCCTTCTTCTACACAGCCATGATGGTGTAATTGATGCAGTATGCGGTCTGCCATTGTCATGTTGGAAAATGCAAGGTCTTCCCTGAAAGAGACGACATCTGGATGGGAGCATATGTTGTTCTAGAACTTGGATATACCTTTCAGCATTGATGGTGCCTTTCCAGATGTGTAAGCTGCCCATGCCACACGCACTCATGCAACCCCATACCATCAGAGATGCAGGCTTCTGAACTGAGCGCTGATAACAACTTGGGTTGTCCTTGTCCTCTTTAGTCCTGATGACATGGTGTCCCAGTTTTCCATAAAGGATAAATACTGTTTTTCTTTAACCCTTTAACTGTCACCCCCCATTTTTTAAAATAGGCATGCGGGTGCACTATCCAAACTTAAATTGTTGTAATTTATGAACACTTTGGAATGCAGACCTAAGTTTTGCATATAATTTTAATAATTTAAAATTATAGAAGTTTAAATTTACTGTAAAGAAAATGCACTATACTAATTTTATTTTATATATAATATTTTACATAACAGGTGTTACTCTCTAAAATTGGTATACAATTAAAGCCTTATCTCGAAATAATAAGTTATGTAAATTTAAATTAGTATATTTTTTTTAATTTGAAGTCGATATGAAAAAAAATTGAGGTTCCTGTGAGATTTTATTTAGGGCGTTATACCACAAACAGCCACCTTTCCAATGATATGTTTTTTGTAAAGACCATGGAAATGATACTTTAAACCTTAAAAGGGTTTGATTCTAAAAGACCGTAATGCATTTCGAAATATGACACTTGACACCACCCTCTTAATGGGGAGGAGACCGCCAAAATATTTTAAAGTATCATTTCCATGGTAACACAATGTCCGATTTCAAAATGGTTTTCACAGGATGAATTTGGGCTTCTTAAGCTTTCAAATGATATATAATTTATGATGATTACTAAAAGATTTGATAGAGAAAAAGGACAACAACAAAAAAGAGCGTCAAGCGTGATGGTTGTTCATGAGTCCCTTGTTTGTTCTGAACAGTTAAACTGAGCAATGTTCTTCAGAAAAATCCTCCATGTCCCGCAGATTCTTCAGTTTCCCAGCATCTTTATTAAAAGCAGGATGAAGATGTCCCAATTTTTCTTATTTTGTTAAAATATTGTTTTTTTGCCTTCATTTAGTGCTGCCCTTCGGAAGCAGCAGAAGATACTTGCATGTTTCCCGGAAGACAAATTAAGTACAATTTACCTTGATCTTCAAATTCAAAAGTGTTCAAGGCTCTTAATGCATCGTGTTTCCTTCTGGAGCATCAGGGAATGTTTGAACCTTTTTTAATAGTTGTGTTTGAGTCCCTCAATTGTCCTCAGTGTGAAAAGATGGATCTCAAACTCATACAGTCACTGCTGGAAAGGGTTCAAATATGCAAAAGATGCTGGAAAACTGAAGAATCTGCAGGACATGGAGGATTTTTCTGAAGAACATTGCTCAGTTTAACTGTTCAGAACAAACAAGGGACTCATGAACAACCATCACAAAACAAACAAAAACAGTCATAGATCATCCAGGTAACCACACACAGTATTAAGAACCAAGGGTGCCCAAACTTTTGAAGGGGGTTATTTTAATAATTTCAGCAATTTTTTTTTGTTTTGTGGACTATATGTAAACATCTTTTATGTAAAATATCTTACTCAGGAGTCAGGACAGTACTAAATAAAAAATAACATGCATTTTGTATGATCTCTCTTATTTTGTTAGTTATTCACATTTTCACTGATTCTGCAAGGGGTTCCCAAACTTTCGCATGCCACTGTATTCCTTGCAATAAAACAAAAGTGTAAAATATAAAATGTAATTATTATTATTATTATTATTATAAATTAATAATATTTCTAATATTAAATACATAATCCCTGCAATTTTCTATCCATCAGGAGTACCTAAAGACCCATGAGAGATATGCACCAAACAGCCTTTTCTTGGGAGGTAGGTCTCTCTTTTTCTCTCTTTGTCTTGTTTGAATGTGTGAAAGTAGTCTATTTTTGAAGGAGGGACAGAAAAAATTGCAGATGCAAGTCTTTAAAAATATGTAGATAAAAATAGGTGAATATGATAAAAAATACTCACTACTAAAATATATACAATATTGAATAGTTGCCTGTTTTCCGTCTGTTGTTCTAATATTATTATTTCCCTTTTTTAGGCAGTAATGATGAATACTTTTTCCAAGAATCATTTTTCAAAGTTCTTCTTACGAAAGAAAATAAAAATAATATATAAATTTAATAGTAATGTTCTCTCTCTTTCTGCATATGTATATTTGTTTCCAGGACGCTCTATGGGTGCTCGTACAGCTGTTGCTGTGTGTAATCGTATGTGTGACAGGCAGAAGGATGCAGTCCAAGGTGTTCTGTGTTTGTCATTCCCACTGAATGTACCAGGAAAACCACAAACATTTGTTGAGCGGAGCCATGGCCTGCATGCACTGTCCCAAACTTCTGTGCTGTTTGTTTCTGGCACTGCAGATAACATGTGTCAACAGGTGAACACATATGAGACCTTTTCGATTGGTTTGGGCTTTAAACTGAGTAATGGTCATTCTTGAAGTTCCTGCTGTTAAACCTTAAGTGAAACATTTTGTCATCATTTTCTCAAACTCATGCCGTTCCAAAACTGTATGACTTTCTTTTTGAGAAATTTTTTTTTCACACAAGAAGAAAGAAAGTAAGTCATACAGGTTTGAAATGATTTGACTGTGAGCAAATGACAGAATTGAATTTTTTCTGTTAACTACCCCTTGTAGTTTTATTACATAATTTTTTTTGGTAAAGATGTAATTGCAAAAAGGCAATTTGATTCTTGATTACATTGAAACTATTAGGTTCTTTCATATTTATATTAATGTAACACAAAGCTTATCCTTTGCTTGCTTTTTAGAATCTTCTACAAAATGTTATGCTTGTCATGAAAAGCCCTTCTGCTGTTCACTGGGTCAAGGATGCGAACCATGGACTTGCAGTACGTGGCAGAACAGAAGAATCAGTACTGGAGGAAGTCAATTCACAGATTATTGCATGGGTACTACAACACAAATGAAATGCATCTTTATAAGTAGATAGAGTACATATGGTTATTACTGTTTGGATGAAAGAAGATGGTGAGCTGTTGACCCTAACCCTCTGTATATAGTTTCCGTATGTTAACTGTGTTCTGTGTTACAGATTATGTAAGAATAATACATTATGAATAAAGATCATAATTATTAAAAAAACAAGTTATTAGTATTATCATCATTAAAATTGCATTTGAATTGAGTACTATTTGGGATATTTATTAATAAACTATTAAAATCATATTATTATTCATATTGAGAGGACATTTGCTTGCAAACAATATGACTCACCATTTGTTTGTAAGCTACACGTTTGATACACAGTGGCTATAACAAGTTTACACCCTCCTGGTAAAATTGCAGCTTTTTGAGATTTTTTGAGAAAAATGAATCCAGGTAAAATCGTGTCTAATCTTTTTCCACCTGCTGTATTAAAAGCAAAAGGTGTTTGACATGACATGATTATACGTGGCTTATTTTTCATCGCAAAAACATTGTTTCAATGTGTAGATTTTTATAGCCACCTTTTACTAGTTGAAAGCTAGGGGAAAATTAAACTGCTTCAATATAGTATTTTTGTTTTATGAAACTATAATGATGTAAATTGTAAAAAAATATATATTTTAACTGACTAGTTATTTTTCCTTTACTGAAAAATAACCAATATGTAAGCTGTGCGCCAGTGTAAAATAATGCTTTTTTTTCTTCTTCAAAATACATGTATATGACAAACACTATACATGATATAAACAATAAACATTATACATGAAATTAACAATTTCACACTAGAGGGGCTGTATACAAAGACAAATGTATATAAAAATATTAAAGCGTTTACAAACTTTCACCGTTTTAATTGCTTTTTGTTTCATAGAAAATCGTATAGTATCAATATAATGCTCCATTTCCTTCCTAAAAGAAAAAATACTTTTTTTTTTGCATGAGAACTTACATTTGTGAATATGAAATTTTGCATGTAAAAAAAATAAGATTTATCATGTAAACGTGACTGTGCTTTTCATTGCTGTTCTCCAATATACTAAATAATAATCTTTCCATAACAAAACAAAATGATTATCAAAGTTTCCGTATGTTAACTGTGTTCTGTGTTACAGATTATGTAAGAATAATACATTATGAATAAAGATCATAATTATTAAAAAAACAAGTTATTAGTATTATCATCATTAAAATTGCATTTGAATTGAGTACTATTTGGGATATTTATTAATAAACTATTAAAATCATATTATTATTCATATTGAGAGGACATTTGCTTGCAAACAATATGACTCACCATTTGTTTGTAAGCTACACGTTTGATACACAGTGGCTATAACAAGTTTACACCCTCCTGGTAAAATTGCAGCTTTTTGAGATTTTTTGAGAAAAATGAATCCAGGTAAAATCGTGTCTAATCTTTTTCCACCTGCTGTATTAAAAGCAAAAGGTGTTTGACATGACATGATTATACGTGGCTTATTTTTCATCGCAAAAACATTGTTTCAATGTGTAGATTTTTATAGCCACCTTTTACTAGTTGAAAGCTAGGGGAAAATTAAACTGCTTCAATATAGTATTTTTGTTTTATGAAACTATAATGATGTAAATTGTAAAAAAATATATATTTTAACTGACTAGTTATTTTTCCTTTACTGAAAAATAACCAATATGTAAGCTGTGCGCCAGTGTAAAATAATGCTTTTTTTTCTTCTTCAAAATACATGTATATGACAAACACTATACATGATATAAACAATAAACATTATACATGAAATTAACAATTTCACACTAGAGGGGCTGTATACAAATACAAATGTATATAAAAATATTAAAGCGTTTACAAACTTTCACCGTTTTAATTGCTTTTTGTTTCATAGAAAATCGTATAGTATCAATATAATGCTCCATTTCCTTCCCCTAAAAGAAAAAAAACTTTTTTTTGCATGAGAACTTACATTTGTGAATATGAAATTTTGCATGTAAAAAAATAAGATTTATCATTTAAACGTGACTGTGCTTTTCATTGCTGTTCTCCAATATACTAAATAATAATCTTTCCATAACAAAACAAAATGATTATCAATATTTTGTACAATAAAATTACATACATTTTGCCAAAATAGCAGCGCAAAAGAATGCTGTGCGTGTACCTTTTAGGACCTGTGACGTAATCACGTGAACAGGCGTATGATTGGCTGGTTTTCTCTCCCCGGCCTTCAGCTGTAAACATGGCGCAAGAACCCTGGAATAAAACTTGTATCCCGTTTCCAAGTGCTGTTTCTTCGAGTCGAATCCCATTTACTGACTCAAGTGGTATGTTCTGATATTTTAACCCCTAACGTTATATCTACTCTACACTTTACTACAAAGAGCTCGTATAAAGCATGTAAAGAAATGTTTTTCTGTGACTGAGCTGAGCACGTGGATCCGGTAGATTCAGGTAAAACGGTGGACAAGTGATATCATTTGTAAGCAGCGATAAAGCATTTGACTTAACTTTTGATCTCTTCAGATAGTCGCGTTGTCCAATACAAGACTTGTTTACTGGTGTTAGTGTAATGCAATGCTATTAGTTAAATAAGTGCAGTGTTTTTATTTTGTAAAGTAATTGCACGTGTTTGTTGTGTATTATGTATATATGCACGTACTGTATAGAACGACTGAACTTTGAATGACTAAACATATAACTTAAGTACAATTATATAGGCTGCATGACATTGTAATGATGTTTCTCTGTCTAGATATCTTGATTGCAAGTCTGCTGACTGACTGTGAGAAGGTTTTGACCCTGTTATGCAGTGAAGTCCTACAGGCAGAAATCCGTGTTCTTTACGAACTTCTTTACGTTTTGAACAACGGCTTCAGACAACACAAGCCGTTCAGAGCATTAAAACAGGTGGGAACCAAGTACTTCAATGTACATATTGTGTGCATGCATATTTAGTATTGTGTAATTATGTCAAGACCGTGATAAAAATCCTTAATTAATTTATTTGCAATGTATGATCGCATATTTACATAATTTTCAGGTTGAGCAATGCATAAACCGTTTGAAAGAGATGAAGTTACAAGCAGCAGTGGACGATCTGAAGGAACTGTGTCCAGACAAATTTCAGAGGTAAGGTATAGGTTAAACAAATTATACACTTTTTTTTTTTTCTTCCATATCATGGTTTTGAGAATATGTGTATCTCTGTGTAGGGATGCTGGAGCAGAGGTTGGGGCGTGTGACGTTCCCAGTCAGCCCATGTTGGAGTGGCTCTGTCTCAAACTACTAGGAGCCTCCAGTCTTTTAGCCCGAACGCTGGAGCGGTGCACCCACGCTTTCATGTATCCTAAATGTTCACATTCACAACCATGTACTTTGGTTAGAAAATTCTTATGATAGAAGAACTGTGCGTGGCTATGATCCTTCACACCCCTGTCAGACTGACACGGCAGCACCTGCTGCTAAGCGAGTTCGTTGTGCTGAATGTGGTGATGGCCAGCATGCTTAGTCGTCTCTGGTGAGTCTGTGTACCAGTATAATTTACCATATCATCGCTGAATTCCCATAGAGTTATTTCCTGAAGATGCTAAGTTGGGAAACTGCAGGGATGGAGCAGCATTTCATATTTGTGACCCTGGAGCACAAAACCGTAAAAATACGTAGCACGGGTATATTTGTAGCAATAGCCAACAATACATTGTATGGGTCAAAAATATCAATTTTTCTTTTATGCCAAAAATCATTGGGATATTAAGTAAAGATCATGTTCCATTAAGATGTTTTGTGAATTTCCTACCGTAAATATATCAAAACTCAATTTTTGATTAGTAATATACATTGCTAAGAACTTAATTTGGACAACTTTAAAGGTGATTTTCTCAGTATTTAGATATTTTTTTCACCCTCAAATTTCAGATATTCAAATAGTGGTATCTCGGCCAAATATTGTCCTATCCTAACAAACCATACATCAGTGGAAAGCTCATTTATTCATCTTTCAGATGATGTATAAATCTCAATTTTAAAAAAAAATGTACCTTTATGACTGGTTTTGTGGTCCAGGGTCAATTCCTTTTCATTCTTGATTTTGACTTAGTTCAGTATAATCAAAGATATTCATTTGACTTTGTATTTTTACTTTTGTAAAAAAAAAAAAAGCTGCTTGGTTTGAAATTTACTTTTGTGTGAGATGGCTACATTGTTACACTATTAACAACAGACATTGGACCTTTTTTTACCCAGAACATTTTGGCAAAATGTCTCTAATGTGAATGCATTGTTAGGGTTAGGTTAGAGTATTTATAACTAGCTATATATCAAAACAATAGATGTCCATGAAATGTCCCCATTAAGTAAATGTGTGTTTATAATACCGTAATATGAAACACCAAAATGTTAAGAATTGTTTCAGAAAATATACCAATATATTAAACATTTACTGGCTTGCTTATGGATAGCTTTCAAAACAAAATTGAATAATGTGCAACAAATATAATTCTGAAATGGGATAACAGATTTTTTTTTTCTGTCACATTTTATAATTTTTTAGGGTGTTCTTCAGAGGTATTCTGAGAGCCCTCATCCCCATGTACAAAAGAACCACTGAACTCCTCCAGAAGGTGTCTCAGTCTCAGCCCATGGCCTACCTGACAGACTTCACCCTGCCTGGGGACCTGAAAGACTTCCTGTGCCTCTCATACCCAGATCTACTGTTGGAAGAAGGCACCAAAGACCCTTTAAGGGCCAAAAAAGGGAAACAAAAGTCCAACTTTTCTCTCCTTTCCAGGTTGTTTGAGGGTAAAGGGCATGAAGATGGTGATGGAGAAGAGGAGAGAGAGATGATGCCAATAATAGCTGCCGGTTATGATGAAGGTTCTAGTCTGGACCTGGGGGCAGCAGTTTTACAGCGACGGCCAGGTTATTTGGGTTTTCTTACCAATTATGTTTTTGTGTAATTTATACTGCTTTTCTTTTATATATTTGCTTGTAATTCTCCAGATGTCTCACCCTGTGGACTGGACATGAAGGTTGTGCTTCAACAATCTTGTAAATCCACCAAACGGGTATTTAATCTTGATTTGTATGATGTCATTGACTAGTCCTAGGATGTTACTATTT